GCATGCATGTACCTAGAGTTTCACAATGTTTTTCTCTCCACTGGTACACTTTTTCCATTCCATAACCCACTAAATATCTTTTCAAATTTTTATTTGAGTCTATATCCTTTAAACTTGTGTGCCATCATACATAAGGTAGTCTAGTATGCCTTCATGACCTTAGTAATTCCAGTCAGAAGGATTTAATAATATTCAACCACAGTCAGCTTTCAAAATGTTTATATATATTTTTTATGAATATTACAAAATGATCTATACACAGACCAAGATGCAATTTAGCATAACTGTTCCTTTTATAAGGTTGTTTTATCTTCCAAAGAACAGTAAGGTTCTCTAAAGTGCATAATAAATACGCAGACGACTGTTATTCTTTAAGGTGTTTTTTATTATAAATCCAGATTGTGAAAGTTTTTACTTATTGTTAAAACCGCCACTTCAAAAGGCATATGTAATGTTCCATATAGTCCTTGATAATTCATCTTCCTACTTGAATGAGTCACCTTTTACTTATAGTCTTCAGGCTTTGTTAGTCTGACAGTATTTGCACAAAGTCAATTGTTTTTATGGTATCAAACTTACCTAGTGGTCCTATTTACATTCTAATGTGAATGACACTAGTCAGGAGGTCATGCCAAATTTGAAAGGCATATGGCATGAGTAGGGCAGAACACACAGTGGAAGTGATACGTTCCCCAAGTGCAGTATGTTTGTATTTACGGTAGAAGTAAAACCCCAACTGAATGACATTTAGAGGTCTACTTATGAATGTTTTACCAAAGATTCCAACAATTTCCACACAAACTTAACACATTTTTTTAATTGAAGCTTATGTGAATAGTGTGTCAATCTTAGGTGAAAATTGTGTGAAACTTTGGTAATAACATTGAAAAACAGACCTGCTAGTGTGCTGAAGCACTGTTTATCATATACAATTACACTTTTGTTTAAAATAAAATGTTTGTTTTTACACACACTCCAGGTATGGCTTCATGGGATTTCCCAAAGCGGCCTTCCTGATGATGACAATAGTGGGCCATGCCATGTGCTATGTGTGTCGAAACAGTCTCCATCAGAAGCCCGCATGACAAGGTACCAATACACAACTGGAAGACAGTTATAGAATGTTGTCAGCCTATAAAATGACATTTATGGTGCAGTCAGCAGTGAGCAGTGAGAAAGAGATTTGCTGCTTACAAATCTTTACATCTGATACAGCAGGGGGCATGTCAGACCTCTGCAGAGAGATCACTGCTTTAACACAGATAGCAAGGCTCCTTCTCTACAGCATGCTGGCATGGGTCAACATTTCTGTTAGGGCTGTGGCTGCATTCTAAAGAAAACAGGCTGTAAGACTTTTGAATAGCATTTGTGTTGATGCACCTGGAATGTATTTGACTGATTAAAACTGAACGTTCAAATGGGCTTTAAGAAACAAGAAAGCACCTCTGTTTTCCATTTTTCGTTGGTCTGTACAGATAAATACAAAGCAGACAAGATGTTTGCTCTAATAAGGCATTCTAGCATCATTTTTTAGTAAAGTAATTGAATGACACAATGGACTGACCTTATACAAAAGGTATCATTATTTGGGTGTGCCTAGGGCACCAGTAGGTCAAATTATGGCACTTGATACAACGAGTTCAACTATGAGACATTATAGATTGTTACAGTGAGGGCTTAGGGGAAGAAAACTACAGTTATCACAGTGCTTTGTATTTTGTGGCATACTAGTGTCTCACTGGTCACAAAAGCTTATAGTACTAAAGGACTGGAGTTGTGCCCTGATGATGTGAAGTACGTGAAACTTACGTGAAACTCACCCTCACCTGCATTGATGTTTCTATTGGGTCAGGTCCTTATTGCTCATAATCAGTTCCACTCAACTGTATTCTTTTGGCTGCCTCTCCTTCTCACATTAATATATGTTCACCACCACAGTACCTCCATGACCCTCTTGGCCCTATTTCACTGTCATCAGGTAAAATGTCCACTGCCTATATTTAACTTATAGTTTTTACTTAAATAATACTTAAGGTACACCTTTCTGAAAAAAATATTAAGGTAAAATCCCTGCTGAATAGTAGCCACCATAGATTGTTAGATCGTATCTTCCTAGAAAATAATTTTCTCCATTATATATTGGTACTTCCATGCTACTGGGAGAGTAGGCATACCCCCATCCCACAATGTACTGCTTTTTGCCTAAGTTACCCAATGTCTGATCTGGGCATTGTTACATAGGGTAAACATAAGCTTATGCTAGTTCTAGCTTTCGTAAAAGTTGGTATTTGCATATGGATTTTTGAAGATTCTGGTGCTATCATATCTGGTGAGCTTGTAAACTGAGTGGTACCTTCATGATCATCTCCATCGCATTTATTGTTTATCAGTAATAGACTAAACAGTGTTGTTACTGATATGCATATTTCCACTGTTTGTCAGCAACTAAGTCCTCATACCTATATCTAACCACTTTTTTCTTCACTGGTTTATGCCTACTGTCATGGAGAAATTAGCGCCCCTTGGCTGTCTCAGTAAAGGTTTAGCTGTCTTTCATGTGCAGGATGAACTTGACAGTCTAGCATTATCTTTTGTGGGAAAAGCAAGATGAAGTCCCCCAACAGGGGAATGATTGGATCTCTTGGGCCAGAATGCAGCAGAGCTTTTGTTCAGTGATTTAGCACTGATTAGTTGTATATTAACTGGATAGTTTTTATTTGGCAGTGTTTTCTGTAAACATTGGAAAGGTAAGGTGTTACTTTGGTGGGCCCAAAGGTTGAGCAAAAGTAATGAATGTTAACTACTGCCAAGTCCAACTCCTGACCCTGATAAACAGCAAACCAGTTAAAAGAAAAAAACAGAAACCCAACTTTCTGAATCTCTGCTTGACACCCTTATGTACAGTGCCTAAAAAATGTATCACTAATAACAGTACTTTGAAGTACAATGTAGTGCTCAGGGCCTGAGCAGATCATCACTAGACCTGAGTGTGTGTACAGGGCTGTGGGGGAAAGGTGCAATACAGTGTTCAAGTGCCAACAATATGTGGCAGTAATGGGATGTTGGGCAGCAGTGATACATGTATGTTTAGCATTGAGGATGCCTAGCCCAGGTTGGTTAGATAACCCTGGTTTGGCCCCACTGCAATTAGGAATGGATAGGCTGTTAAGGATGTGATGTCCTGATGGTCCTTCTTTAAGATGCTCCCACCTACTGAATTGTATGATGCTCTGATTTCACATGCATTTATATTATGTGACCTGTTAAATTGAGCAGAGATGCTATCTACTATAAATTTCTAGATTTATACTGTGAGTTTTTTTGGTGTAGTTTTAATCTGCTCTAATGCTTGTCTTTGCCTGATTTCGGCAATTACAATTGTATTGGGTAAACTACACTGTGCGCGCATTGCACTATTTCTTGTCTTGTCCCTTGATATCATTAAAAAGAGTTTGGTTTAAAAAAAAAGGATGCCTAGCCCACAATGTTGTTGTTGGGAGTGGGAGTTGGTGTTTTTAACCCCCTGTCAGGGAACTCATGCAGCAAGTGCTAATTCCCAATCAGCAGGTGCTCATTTTCATGCGTGCATGCAGGGTCCTGGGCATAGGAGCTTAACAAGATGTGCAAGGACAAAAAAAAGCAGGCCTCTGCGTGCACATATGCTCACGGGTGCGCCCAGAGTTCCTTGTGACCAGCGGCCTATTTAAATCTGAGAAATGCCTAGCTTTATTTCTGTATTGTATTCAGCTCTGATTCCTTTGTTCTAAGTTCTGAAAACCTGCTTAACTTGTTACTGACCCAGCTCACCTGACACTTCTCTTAGGATTGCTGTTGCCTGTTATGTCCGCTGCTCATCTGTGTTATCGACCATGAACTGTACTTCAGACCACGATTCTTTCTCCTGTCTTGGTACTTCGCTGCCAGCATGTTGCCGACTCTTGCCTGTTCCTGACCTTGACCCTGATTGTGATTCTGTTCATGTCTGCCTGGCTGCACTGAACACAGCTTGTGACTTGATTACATACTGCCACTGGGTGGACCCCAAGCTATAGCTTCAGCTTCTTGCTGCACCCTTCCGCTGCTCTAGCAGTCCTTATTTTCACTACCAGGGGTACTTGGATGGGAATTGTGCAACATGCCATCCTCGTCATCTCGGGCACCGCAGTCGGGTGCATGATACCCTGACAGGTTTGCTTTAAAAATGATTTTCTAGTTTCCTTCCCTGTATCAATAGAAAGTTCACAATTACATGTCTGTTCAATACATTTTTGGGGATTCTAACTTGTTGAAACATTAGTAAGTGTCGTGTAAGGTAATATTAATGAGAAGATTTAATTGGGTCACTCTACAAATTTCACAGTGAGCGCCTCTCCTACAATAGATGTCAAAAGAAAAGCTTTATATATATATATATGTGTGTGTGTGTGTGTGTGTATTATATGAGTCTAATGGAAGTCGCCATGCTACAATGCCACCACTGTCAGAGTGGAATGTACTGTCAGAATTGCAACATTATATTGTATTAGGCAACGCATGCTAATACAGGCATTACATTCAAAGTAAATCTATAAATCTCTTCCTTTGTTAAGAAGACTTGATAAAAGCTACATTTCCCTTTATCTTCCAAATTAAGGTTTATTTGATTACATTTCAACTTTACAAAAGTGTCGTCTTTAGACTCACTGTCAGCTGCACATCGAGATCTAAAGTAGCTCAATGTTTCTTGTGTAGTCTATAAATATTGTAGCTAGTGCTCGTTTTTGGTCCAGAAAAACTGCCAATCTGGACATTGTATGTTCCCTGATATAGTGCATACATTTGAAGATCTTTGGATTTCTCAAGCATATTTCGTTTTCAGTATTTCTGGTTCATCTTGAACTGAGGCCCACTAAAATCACTGTAGTCACATCTTCTTGAAGATGCTGAACATGAAAGCTTTAGAAACTCTTGAATGAGACCTCCCCAGAAACTGCAACACCAATGTCAATTCAAATATTGACCTAGATGCGATTTGACATAATACGAGTGTTTAGTTTTCTGAAAAATGACCTAAGCTTGCATATCTTGCATTTTTTCTTTTTATTGGCATTTTTTAGATGCCCATTTATCCAGTTTTCTTCTTCATCCTCATCCTCACTAGCCCATGGTCCCCAGGCACCACCATTGAGCTCTGGATTCCCTCTTGGATCCTCATTTGGATAGCGCACTGGGATAGCAGTGTGGTTATAGTAAGCTATACGCAACAATAGTTCCTTAACAATTTCAGGTTTCTGTGCAGACAAGTCATAACGTTCAAAAGGGTCAGCTGTGATATTGAAAAGCCATACTGATTTACGAGCTCCATCAGTATGTCGTTCTAAGTTCCACCAAGTTCCTGGAAAGTTAGTAAGAGTCTGTGGTGGTATCCAATCACTGTAACCAGGGTCCCCAGTTAACAGTTTAAAATCTTTAACCCTTATAGAGGCCTGAATAGCAGTGTTCCATATTTCTTGACCTTCTTCCAAGGATCCAGACTTGGCAAGATTGTACAAGGGGTCAATATTATGCAAAATTTCTGTACGGGGTGACTCTTTTCCTTCACTTATTGATGGCCACATATCATAGCCATCAAGTTCTTCTGTTTCAGAAATGTTTCCTCCTGCCAGTGTTACTAGCGTTGGATACCAATCCGTAATATGCATTAGGGATCGACTAGACCTTCTTTTCATTTTGAGCAATGGGCTATGAACAAAACCCAAACTCCTTATACCACCCTCCCAGTATGTGCCTTTGCGGCCCCGTAAAGGCCAGTTGCTTCCACCAGAGAAAGTTTGACCCCCATTGTCTGATGAGAATATTATAATGCTGTTGTCATAGTAACCATACTTTTTCAGTGCTCGGGTGATGTTCTTAACAGCAGCATCCATGCATGTTACCATAGCGGCATACTTCCTCCTTGCCACATTGCCCATATTCCTATAAGGATAGATGTACTCTCGAGGAGACTGCAAGGGAGTATGTACTGCTTGGAAAGCTATGTAAATAAATATAGGTTGCTGAGGATTATGGGCGGCCAAGATATGACTTACACGTTGGGAGTAGAGTATGGTGGAGTATTTGCCAGCAAGGTCCCAAGCAACATTTTCCCCTTCATGTAAGTCAAAGCCACAAACCCCTGGTCCATCACAATTATCATAGGTGTAATAGTCAACATTCCCAGTCAGAGAGCCAAGAAAAGTGTCAAATCCACGTCTTGTTGGAAGACAATCTTTCTTATAAAATCCCATATGCCACTTTCCGACCATGTGTGTTGCGTAACCAGCTTCCTGCAGCTTTTGGGGCAGTGTCACTTGATGAAGAGGTAGACAGTTGGGCTGTCGTGGTCGTATGATTGAATGCTGCAGGCCTGTGTGGATCTGATACCTTGAAAAAATGAATAGATATAGTTATTAACTACTAATATGCAAAATGCCTATATAGAATTAAACTGAATTGCTATACAGATTTACTGAACAAGATTTATTGTATATATTCATAAATACATAGATTATCATAAATTGTTCTTTCGTGAAAATGAAACAAATTTTAGTGTGGGGAAGGTCACAAGGAAGGAAGAAGTGATTTTGTTTTTCTAGATTTTAGGTGCATGTATTTTCATTTTGTTTTTTTCTTTTTTTGCTGTCTTTGTACCACTAGGGATATTTCACTTCTATGCTTGTCCCAGAGATTCATGTTAGAGGAAGTATCCAAAGTGAAAGGAATTTGGATCTTAGACAGTTGTTGCCAGAACAGGTGTTCCCAGGGAAAGATTTCCCTTTACCTCTTGCTCTAAGAAGAACTCTAACATTTTCAATTTCCCTTATTTTTTTGCTTGTTGACAAAAGTCACCAGTACGAATAAAAGAGAATCTCCCTAGAATTATTGATGAGGATATGGACCTCTTGTGTTACCTAATGTCATGAGTGCCAACATCCCAATAAACTTACAGAATCAAGAATAACATATTTGAAACAGGGATTTTGATCATATCACATATACAATTTATACAACATAGCTTATCATACGCAAAAATCTAAATAATCACAGTACACACAGGGATTAAAAGTATCTAAAAACCTGGTACATACTACAGTTTTTTTTTTTTTTGTTCAAGCCAAGGCTGAATGGAAAAAAAACCTGCCAGCTCAGGAGGAGCCACTGTACTAACTATTCGATGTTAGTACAGCAATCTCCCCTGCTGTGCTATTGTGTTCTGACAGGGGGATGGCTCCTAACACCAGAACACTCTGGTCAGCACTCTCAGCCTTTGGCTGAGAGCACTGATCGGGTGCCGATCAGCAGACCTTTTTTGGTAATGCCCCTTCAACAGAAGCCAGCCAAGTGGCTGGCTTCTGTCAGATCATCTACCCTACACACGGGCCAAATGCCAGACTGTTTCTATTGAACTGACCGATGCTACCCGTCATTCGGCCCATGTGTACTAGGCTTAATAGAAGCACACCTTCTGGTTAAAATCACATTATCATAGTTTTATTAGTTCATTGTCTTTTCATTGTCACAATAGGATATCACACAGTGGGAATTAAATGAACATGTTTATACATTATGTTTTAGTGTCCCAAAAAAGCATACCTATGGATCTGCAGTGTTGAGTGCCCACGGGGGAGATGTCAGACATAGGGGAATCTTAGTGAATTAGTAATGTGTGATATCCCTAAACACTTTGAATGTCCCTTATTGGGAGGTAAATGTATAGTCAATATGAATAGTCATTGTGATGTATATATATTTATGATAAATATAAAGTGATTACATATACAGTATTTAATGTCATTTACATATTTCTTCAGATACAATGGACCAAGTTTCCGTGTGATATACTGTACATCTGGTAAATTTGTCCAGAGGAAACTGCTTTTTGGTGCTTAATGTGTTGACAACAAGATATGAACTGATAGATTGTAAACTGTCAGTAATGTATTTGAATATGATGGTCCATTAGAAGCATGATTTTCAGCTGATCATTTCATCTTATTGTTTTAAAACAAATGTATTACATTTGTGGCCTTTTTATTGCTGATATTAATTTAAAAAATTTGTAATTTTATATAGATTGCCGCTGTGCAACATTTTAAGTCCTAAATGTGTGGGTTTTTATTTGTGCGTTTTGGTTACATTCTGCATAGGGATAAGTAATAAAACAAAAAGATTCTACCTTTTATCATTAAAAAATAAAGTGCAGTCTGGGAAAGTAATATCATCACCATTTACCTCCCTAGCGGTCTGATTATGTCCATATTTCTCTGCTCAAAGCGGTACATTTTTTTTTGCAGGGAAATATGTATTTTTTTTATTGTAGGCCTGTAATTTTTAGGAATAACTCACTGAAATCTGTCCAAACAAGAATCTAGTAAACATCCCGGGTATGTTAAAATTTGAATCACGAAATCATAAATTATAATTTAATAAATAATCATAAAAAATAATAATAATACATTTAATTCAATAATATAACCAACCAAAAAACACTGAAGTTTGAAATATAGCTCCAAGTTCGCACATCACTGAACAAAGTCGCAAAATCGTTTTCAGTGTCTGATGACGAATTTCCCCACGAATCATTATCACTCAATTCTGCAAGTGGTTCTAATTTACTATCGCTGTTCTCTAGCTGGTCTAAAACCGATTTTGACCGAAAGGGATGCTTTTTGGACGCCATGGACGTTTCTCAGTTTCCAGGCAATAAGAACACTAAAAATGCAGGCAGGGCACAGGACAAAGCACTCGGGACAAAATGTATGTGAAATGGTTTGATACAGTAATGTTTTACTATGTGATTTTAGTGTATTTAGTGAATGTCACATCTTGTCATTTTCAAATTTCCCGCCAGTTCCGTCCTCCGTATGTCCCGACGTCGCAGGGGACGGAACCCAGAAGACAGATGCCGGCATCTGCCAGAGGACATTACAGGGGACACTTCAGGAGGGACATCGCGGGAGCGCAAGACAAGGTAAGAGAAGAACAGATCCAGGAGCAGCGCCGCATGGTATTCCCGAGTGTATCTCTGGGTTACCGCTTGTGGTACTGAAACATTACCCCAAGCTACACCCAGGAATACTGCCAGGGAGGCTATATCAATCGCCACTCAGATTGTAACATGGTAACTTCACAAGTTGAGAGGCAGCATGAAGTTGATCTGAGATACAGAGTATGTAAATACAATCCAGAACAAAGGACATTCTCCAAGATATTGAAATTATTTAAAGAGGAGCTCCAGCCAAACAAAAAAAAAGTCAGCAGCTACAAAAATTGTCCCATGATAAAGCGGTGTACTCACTGCAGCTGGTTTCACCAGCTATCCTATCTCCTATCCACCAGCATCTTAACTGTGGGGCAACCAGCTGTGTCAGCTTGAGGCTTCACAGCCGGGTGCCAACTGTGCATGCACGAGTAACACTGCGATTTGTGATTGGTCCTGTAGTTTTCTGGGGCCTGTCTATAATCCCAGAAGACTATAAAGAGGGAGGGGGAGGACAACTTCTGCCTCCAATCGCCTAGGCAATCGCAGCGGAAGTGGTAGCGGGTGCCTGTCAAAATCAGGTAGCTGCACCCCCCAGCTCCACAAAGGTGCCAATTCCTCACAAGGAGCAGGGGACTAGTATTAAATTGGAAATTCTCCTTCTGGGTGGAGTTCTGCTTTAACTATCAAGGGATGAGATGTAATTCATGGAGCCCAAAATTCTGGCTAAGGCAGTTCACGTACACTAGGGGACCGCCCAAGATTTTTAAATACTTAGAAACACAAAATGAGTCCACACCAACTGTTGTAGAGCCCAGAAGTCTGTATTACATAAGATGTTGCAGCCAGTACATTTTGAGGGTTGCTAAAGTCCCCCTTCATCAGCTTTAAAAGCTGTATAAGACTGGTAGGTACTTCTATATCTTCCCGACTAGGACAAATAAATTTAGATTTCTGGACTCTACAACAATTACACTTATCCTTTTATATTTCAAGCCCCTGGCCTGGATTAAGCATGCAGATATTATTCTATTTTTATTTCAGGTAGTTATATAGCACTGTCAATTTATGCAATGCTTTACATATATATTGTACATTCACATCAGTCCCTAACCCTCAAGGGGCATACAATCTAAAGTCCCTAACCTACATTCATACATATTCTAGGGCCAATCTAGACAGGATCCAATTAACCTACCAGCATATCTTTGGAGTATGGGAAGAAACCAAAGTACCCACACAGGTACAACATGCAAACTCCAGGCAGGAGGTGCCATGGTTGGGATTTGAACCAATAACCCTAGCACTGCCAGGCAGAAGTGCTAACCATTTAGCCACAGATATGGACTTTTGTCTTTTCCCCAACCTATAAGGTTTGCATACCTGTTCCAGGTCAATGCATTGCTAAAGCCAACCACTGGGTAAATAGCATTTTGTAAGTAGGTCAGTAGTGGCACTCTCCATATTTCTCTCACTATTTTCTAATGTAGTTAGCAAGTTTCAGCAGTTTAAAATAGTCCTTGTCAGACTACCTGTGTACATAGTATCCTAAATTATTTTACCCACCAACTAACTGCTCTACAGCCATTGATTGTCCTTCCAGCATATCACCTTACCAGTGACTAGACACTGTACACTGCTCCACCAAGGGGCACTTTTGCGCATAACTGACCAATCAGTAGCCTAAATATTGTTCCTCCTGTTTAGCAAACACCACCTGAGCAATGAATAAGGATAAATCAGATGATCTGGTACTAGAGAATTTCTCACACCATTAGTTTATATAGGACAGGTAAGTACTTTACTACTTTTCTTCGATATGGCCAGAAGGCAAGAGAACATTTATGTGCCGTAGGATATAGTTTATACATCCTTGAATGCAAGAGTTTTACCTTAATATTGATTTGTCTATTAGTCTATTGCGATGCATTTTGTGTATTTACATCTATAGGTCTGCACTGATATCCATTGTGTTGTTCTGGAAACTCTGTTGATCACCTAAATGAATAGCGCAATGGTGACAGCTAATGGGGGCTTTCCTGTCAAAATCAGAGGACATTTGCAAGCATGAATCTCAGAGCCTTATCCATGTGTAAAAGGCATCTATAGTAGATCCAGATATCATTTAGGCTTTTGGGAGACAACAATGTCTCCAATAATATTTCAATATTCACACTACTTCAGATAGCTGAAACTCTTGCAAATGACTGTTGTAGTGCCTCAGTAGCAACCACTTTAAGCCACTCATCTGAATGTTTCTCTACTGCAGAGCATTGCTCTACTTGGCTTGATAGCCAGGCCAAAGGGAGGAGAGCATAGGAGGCTACTGCAGCCACTATCTCATTCTCATGCTACATACACATACTAGGGCCCATTTAGACAAGATCCAATCAACTTGCTATCATGTCTTTGGAGTGA